AAGATCAATCTACTCAATCTTTGCCTATTTTATTATTGGAATAGTAACTCCATGGCAATATGCTAAACATTAAGCTGCCATTGTTTTTCTTAAGGCAATGATTTTGTTCGTTATCAAGAAACTATAGAGAATGCTTAATTGGGCTATAACATTTCTAATTGGGCTAAGTTGTTCAACCCAATTGTTATTTTTGGGTTACATTTAATTGGTCTCATCCCAATCTAAGCTGGAACAATAAGAGTGGCAAATTTCCAATGCACATATCCCTTCTATAAAAACCCAGTAAGTACTTTTAATAGATTTTCCATTAAAAGGTTGAAAACCAATAATTTAAGTGAATCTTGAATTAATTTTAAAATTAATAAAATTTTGTTATTTTTCAATTAATGAATTGGGCATTGATCCCTATACTTGATAAAATGGAGGAACAACAAATCAAACAACTGAGTTAAATAAACATACTTCACCTTCTTTGTATCACAAAGGTTAAAATGATAAACAAACTGAAGATAATTCACCACAGAGGCAAATATCTTAAAAAATACAGAATAATGGAAGAGGTTTTTCAAATATCAATTGACAAATCCAGTACTCATGGATGAGCATCATTATTTGTCTTATAGATCTGAATAGATTGCTTCTATTCCCCCTCCCCCCCCCCCCCCCAAAAAAAAAAAAAAAAACAAAAAACAAAAACAAAGAAAAGAAAAAGAAAGGCGTGAATAGATCCCAAATCAAGTATCTACCATTCACTCATTAGAGAATTGGAAGTGAAGTAGTCTTGCTTATGAATTGATTGCAAGCTTACTTTGATTGATAGAAACAAATTTAGCTTGGATTCATCAATACCAGTAACAACAAACAAGGCCTAAATCCAAAACAAAACTTGGTACCTTCCTAATGATTAAAAACCACAGCAGCAAGAAGGTTAATGTTGTAGTAGAAATCTCATTGAAATGCAGTGGAAAATGATTGGCGCCAGTTCAACAGTTGTAGCAAAAATGTTGACAGATAGGGAAGCAATGATGATGGTGCAAAGAAGAAATTTTGGACACGTGGTAGAAGAAGATGCAATGATCATCATTGACAGTTAAAATGGAAAGATAAACCCCAGAGGTTGTTTGATATCGATGGCGTTTATAAGACAAATGCTTTGTACGATTTTGTCTTGAAAAATGAGACAAAATCTACTTTACACGTTTTGTACAATTTTTTTACACCTCAGCGTCATTAGGTGCAATATAAGCTAAACAGTGAAAATTTGATCTTAAAAATGAAAAACGTCAAAATTAGTGTTTTTCTAATAAACAGTTCGCACGATTTTTGAGAGAACCATTTATCAGATAAATGATTTAACCAAATAACTTTTTAGGCGTTTTTTTGTTAAATACATCTCCAATGCTGAATTGGCACCATTTCTTCCAAAAACTACATTGATACTAAACACCATCATAAAGAGTTAAAAGAATAGGTGAAGGGAGTTTGATTTTTCTCCCATTAAGGAAATGGTGCAGTGGATTGACTGGGCCCCAATGGGCAGGATAATGACTTCTTGTTTTGTATTTGCCTATTGGATAGTTGGGTCTGTGCTACCCCTGGGCTTATATTATCAGAAAAAAAAAAGGAAAAACATAGAATATCATTCCAAACTTCACTTTTCTAACAAATTCAACTTAAATCAATTCTATGAACAGTCACAAAATCAATTGGTTGGTAGTAACAGCATTTGTGGCACCTATAGAGATACATATGAAAGTATTATGATCATCTTTTTCATGGATGTTGTGATAAAGTATGTTCCAATAATTTAATGCCTATGTTGGTGTTTAGGAGATAAAAAAGAATTATGCAATGCAAACATAATTTGAACACATTGTAGCTAAAATAAGACATATAAGGTGTCTCTTAAATTTGTGTTTTTTCTTCAAACTTCTTTAGTTTTATAACAAATATCTTTAAATTTCTGAATTGATTGTCTTTAGATTTTATTAATGTTAATTTCTAAATTGGTTTTCAGCTGATCTGCTGCATTCCTACCATTTCTTGTAGTTTTCCTAAACCCATAGGGTAGGGTGGGCCGGTATTGATTTTGGAGATGTCAAGTCAAGACATGTTTGCATTGGACACATGTGGTTTTTAAGCAGGCAAGTTGGCAAGGTGGTTTTAAGCTTATAAGTAGGCTCCATCATAGTCTTGAATGCCAAAATCATATTGTTCATTAGTCTCATAAAGTCAGCTGGTCACTTCTCTTAATCTTTGTAGATCAATTTTCTTTCATTACGTTAGAATAACTCAAGTCAATTAAGGTTTCATTTTAATTAGTTAGCATTTGTTAGATTAGGAATTTGTTATTATTTCCTTTTACATGGATCAAGCATTTAGTCCTTTTAAATTCAGTCATTTTCTTGTTTAGTAATGATCCTTCTTCCTCTTACGAATGTCCTTTTTGAAATAAAATGACTTTTGTTCCCCCCCACCCTCCCTCTCTCTTCTTTTAGGAACTTGCTAGGCCATCCAAATCAGTAGCTAATCTCTTTTTATCACATGCACTAGGATTAGGTCAAATTAGAATTTTATGCATATTGTCCATTTCTTATAGTTTTAAATTAGTATTTGTAGTTTTCTACCTTAGGACTCACTCATGCACCAAATTTGTCATTTGAATTTCTTTACCCAATTACTGATTTGTTCTTTCATTGTTTAGTGTTTGTTAATTATTATTTTCCTATTAATTGTTAAATTATAGTTAGCTTTTCTCTCATGGTTAATTTAGTGTAATGTAGTTATTTTTTCTTTCCTAGTTAATTTAGTGTGATATTCATCACTTTATTTTAAGCCCAATAATTATGAAAAATTATCCTTAGGATTTTGGCAAAGTAGAGAGGCCAGTTTAACCGGGCATGTGTGTGGTGCCTAATACCTTCCCACACCGTACCTTGGTCCCCAGACCTTAAGAATTTCAACTTCATTGGGAAATGAGTCACCAAGAAAGAGACGGTGACATATCCCTTTTATTATTTCTCAGCCTTGTTGGCTTCTATACAGGAGGATTCAGAGAGAGAGAGAGAGAGAGACAGAGAGGGGGTACTGGGTAGGGATTAGAAAGAAAGAAATGGAATCGTGGGCTCGTGACAAGGCGGAGACAAGAGCAACACCACAACACAACAACTGCACTACTACGCGAAATACAACGCGGGCTTTCAAAAATAATATAGAATGTTTTTTGTTTGTTTGGGTTGGGAATTGGGACTTCCAAAAATTTAGGTGGCAATTCCAAACTCCAATTCATATTTTCCCACCCCCCGTTCAGATCGGGTAGTCACAAAGTTAATGATGTTGAAGCAAATCATGTAACAACATGACAACTTTCAAACCAAGATCGTGCATTCAAGAAGATGAGCTCAAGAAAACATCTCTTAATGTTGTAAAATGGAAATTACATGAACTTATTAATGAGAAGCATTTAAATATATTACCCATGAAAATTCTTACAAACTACTCCTAAATACGAACCTAAACTATTTACAACCACTCCTAGATATGAACCTAAACTATCTACAACTACTTCTAGATACAAGTGTAAATTATCTACAATGGCTTCCAAATATGAGCCTAAACTGTATACCATGTTCTCTAGTGAAATTAGAAGCTACTTAACATTTTTTTGAGCATTATTCTTTGAACTACATTAAGACTTCATCCCCTTTGGGTATGTAGCCGGTCTCAAAAGGCATAGTCATACTTCAAAGTAAATAATTATATCAATGTATTACTCTTGACCTGCATGAATATAAATTTTGAACAACCCCCCCCCCCCCAAAAAAAAAAAAAGTTAATGTACTACTCCTGCTCCGCATGACTACTAACTATGAATGGCTGAATCAAAACAAAAAAAGGATAATTTTCTTTCAATCAAAATTTGTAACATGGTCATCAAATAAAAGCTTAAGGTGTATACTATAAGTGAAATACAACTAATACCATTTAGTAAATAAAATAAGCCTAAAAAAGCAAAGTTGTTCACTACCAAAACAAAAAAGAAAAAAAAAAAAGAGAAGAATGATCATATCACCCATTCAAAGTCTGCAATTCATCACACGCATCACAGAGAAATTATTCCATTATTTCAAGAGTGGTGATGCCCCCAGGACTCAAGATCTAGAGGAATTGATTCAAGTTTAGATGAGGCATTCTTCGCCTCTACCATGAGGGCTTCTTTCTCATTAATCTTTTTTTCACCTTGAGAATGGATTTCCGCAAAGTTGTAGCTTCCTCTTTCTAAGTGTTGTTGCTCTTCCTTCAGTTTTACCAATTTAGATAAAGCAGTTTCTAGTTTTTTCTTAGCAAGATTATACATGCTCTTTCTCATAGTCTTGCATAGATAAGGCTTCATCAAGATGCTTTTGCAATTTCAAATGACATTGAGCTTACACTTCAAGAGATATCCTTTGACTTAGAGTTAACATTGTAAGAGTTTACCATTCAGCATTTTAATTGGATTCTGCAACTGCAAGGATGTTGGGTCAATTGCCTTTGTTCCTGCTATAGCCACAAAGATTTCCTTAGCCTCTCTTTTAATCGAACAGGCCTATGAATAGGAGAGCTTTATAAGCTTCCCTATGAGTCTCTTTCCCATCATGAGTGCACTTTGATGACACACCTCTAAAATGATGTCATCTGCTATAAATGCTGAAAGTTCAAAAACCATTACTTGAGGCATTTGTGGCGGGAGTATAAGAGGCAAGCATGAATGGCCTACACATAGGAGTTAAGCTGTTAACACTGTTTTCAAAACTGGACCGGACCGGACAGTCAGACCGAAAAAATCAGGAACCGGTCACCTGACCAGTTCTGTTTTCCTCCTAAACTGCTTTTTCCCTCAAAACCGTTGATTTTGATCAACAAACCGCTGAACCAGCCGATTAACCGTTCGAGCAGTTTTGACCATTTTCTAATTTTTTAACTTTTTTATTTTTTTGTCAGAATGGGCCAGCCATTCAGGTCGAATGATCAGATTGTTCAAACCGGTAACCGGGCCCCTGACCGTTTCGTTTTTAAAAACCATGATTGTTAACATCTGGTTGAGCGCAATTAGCTGCTTTATCTTTCCTTTTCTCATCCATAAGAGAAGTATTGTCTATATTTCCAGAAATTAGATCAAACGAACTTGGCCCTTTAATTGAAGTCTCACTAACAGACGACCTTAGGTCAGCTATAGTGCCCCGTACGTCCTTATTGACCAGCATTCTCTACACAAGGTTGTTCATCCTTGACCTACAAAGAAGGATCATATTGAAAAGGATAATTTCAATTCATGAAGTCACATTAAGTTACGAAAAAAAATCTAGCGTCATTCATTATTACCTTAAATGGTGGAGTTGCGAGCATTGGCTCTCTAGGAAGTAAACCCATGTAGCAACTGACATAAAAAACCATGACTAAAATTTCATATATAACCACGGTCATGTGGCCATGGCTAAATAGCAGTTTTTCCGCGGCTAAAAGCATTATATAGCTACGGATTTAGTTATTTGTGGCTACAAATAGATGCTACCTTTTCACTAAGGTCGCTTTGTCCGTGGCTAAAGGCATTTTTGGTATTGTTAAAAACGCTTTTCATATGCCCGCGCGGTATTCTTTTAGTTTCGAAACTCTCTTCTATTCTTTGATCTTCTTTGTTCTTTCTCTTCTCCTCTTTGTTCTTCAACCTCGTTTCTTATCTACTTGCTATAACTCACAAAACCCTCATCTTCTCTTTCATTTCTTATTTGCGCACAAATAACCAGCTGGTTCTGAGTGTTGCTATAGGAACAATCTATCGACTGTTTCAGGTAAGGATTTCTCTTTATCTCTCTCTCTTACTCTTTATTCTCTCACCGAAAAGCTCAACATATTCAAGACAAAAAAATCGTTTATGTTTTTCTAGACGCAAGAACTGGCTTGGGTGCCAAAGTTTGCAGCTTCGTTGGCTCAACTCTAATGCCAAAGGTGTGCAACTTCGTTAGATCAGGTTTGTTTTAACTGTCCTAGCTGTCATCATCTTCATTGGTTCATCAAGTTTCCAATCGTTTTTAGGAGAGAACTACTCAAACCTTTGCTGTACGAAAATCCCTACATGAACTGATTGTTAATTAGGGATAATTCTTTTCAAAAGATTAAAATTAGAAGCTATTACAGGAAAAGGGAAAATTTGAATATTGTCTGTGGGTAATTCTTTAACCGGTGGGGTGGGGGTATCAAGTGAGGTTGTGGGTAATTCTTTAATGGTGAGATTTATTTGAGTTTCTAGGTTTGTCCGTTTGACCCAATGAATGATATGCACAGATCAGATGTAGGCAATAGATGATCTAGCAATAGATGGAAGTCTAGGTATGAACCAAGTGCATCACGTAAATTGACAGATGTATCCTTAAATAGTTTTATACTTTCCCTAGACACATGGATTAAAAAACTGGATAACCGGCAATGGTTAACGGGTGCTCATATGCAGATGCCTGCAAACAATGTTAAGGAGATATCTGCAGGAATATACAAGTATAAACATACACAGTTATAAAAGCATATAAATGAGAATGCTGAAAGCTATAGACATCCTTTATTTTTTATAATTTACAGTCATAAACATGCTTGAAAGAATAGTCTTACTTGAGGAGGCTTCTTGTTCAAACATAGGCCCACAGCTTCTAGCTCTCTTGTCAGTATTTGACGATGACCCTCACTCTGACACATTTTTCAATCAGTATTTATAAGGAATGAAAAAGAAGAAAATACCCAAAGCTTGACTTATTGGCTTGTACTTTCATTGGTCTGTCTTTTAGTCAATGTATAAACACTAAAGTAGTAGTGATCTCCTTACCTGCTTAATGGTTTGATGGGGTAACATTATTACTCCTAAATATTCCATTAAATGACTGTTAAATTTACTATAAAAAAGCTGATTTCAGTTCAGCCAAACCAACAGTTATCAAACAGCTCCTAAGAGTTTTATCCTGCTACTTACTGCCAATATTCTTTTTTTCCTTTGCTTTCTTTCTATTCTCTATTTTGGGGGACAGAATTATTTTGTTAAGAGGGTAATTACAAACAATTCTTGTCTCTCATCAATTATCATAGACCACTTTGTATAATAGCAGTAGCAAAGTGATATGTGAGTCAAATAGTAGATAATCATCCCAACTCAGAGATGCAGGTTTCCAACAAGAAAATAAGCATTTATTAGAGATAAAAGCTTAAAACTTCAGTATTCTCAATGGTATTAGGATCAGGTCCTTTGTTCAGAGACAATGGAAAATTCAGGATTGACACCCTCCATTACAGAAAGGACATATTGGGTGGTCTGAGAGGAAACATCATCCTCGTATTCAGTTGACTAGTGAGGTAATCTGAAGAGTTGTATATAAAAAATCAGGGAATTTGAATCAAGAAGAAGTTTTCTTACTTTATCCCACTTGCATCATTATCATGCCTCTTAAATCTTGTATTTTAAATACAAAGTAATCTGTTAGTTATTTGAGCCTTTCTATTTGATGTAGTTAATTTTCATGTCTATTGTTTTGCTTTTATATGTGTAGAAAATTGAGGAGGCTGCAAAAAAGGGTAAACAAACTAAACTTGTTCTACCGGTGTTGCGGAATCGCCTTGATCTTGCTCAACATGATGTGAGTCTTCCTTTTCTTCTTTCTTTCTTAACTTGTTTACTGTATACATCTCTATCCATTTGAAAATTATTACACTTTTCTTGTTCTTGCATGACTTCTTGTTCTTTATTTAGGGATCATTCTTTCATTTCCCTTATTGAGCTTGTTGCTCATAATTTAATTATTGATTGTAAATATGGATTAAGTGCAAATGTTGGACATTGAAACACCTAGTAGCAGTTTCACTCCTCTTTCTTAATTGGTAACAGAACAAATTCATTGGTATCTGAAAACATAATTAGTTATCTTTTTTTCTGACAGGGATAATCCTTGGCATCAGACTTTGTGAACACAGAGGTAGCATAATTATTTCCTATTATACATGTGGACACAGGGATAATCCTTCAAGCTTTGTGGACATAGACTTTGTGTCCATAATCTGCAGTTACACATACACATACACTGGGACTGATGGACTTGGCATCAGTCCATCAACTCTTCGGTTACACATAATCCCTGTTATATATTTACAATAGGGATAAACCATCAAGCTATTCAAACTTTGTGAACATAGACTTATTAGAATTATTTTCCCTGTTTTGAAAAGGTAAAATATGGTATTTCTGTAGAAATTTGTGGATACAGAGTTCTGCTGTTAATTCTACCAAAACAAGGGTTTTGACATGTGAACACAAAGACAAAAATCTATTATAAGCTATATCTCTGAACTCTTTGGGTTCTGACAAGTGCCAACCAAGAGCAAAGCTTTCCTTTCAATGGAGATCAAAGTCCCTAGACTGTCATTTTTTCACAATGATAGTTCCTAGCTAGGGCCCTCACCTTTTGCACACAATATGTCAGTACTGCCAAGTCCCTTTCAATTATGAAGCCCCTACGGTTTTCCTTATATAGTTATGGCTTTCCTCAATAGTTATGGCTTTCCTCAATCTAAGTCTTTGGCATACAGCCAGCAAATTCTCACTTTTGAGCCGCACCTGCCAAGAATTCCTCTTAGTCCTTGGGAATGTGAGGTTCCTATCTACACTCCATCATATCCCTTCTTTAAATACAGTGGTGGCCTTTACATCCTAGAGTTAATTCATTGTTATCATTTGGTCTTGAATTCTAATGCCCTCACTTTCACATATTTTGTTACTAAATTTGCATTACAGGTATTCTGCTTTAGTTCTACTTATCTTAAGATCCTTTAGATCCTTGGACATCTTTCCACAATCCCAGCTTTGTTTTCCTTTTGTCATCTATTCAGTCTAGATAATCTCATCAACAAGCATAAGTTGTGAAGCCTTCACTTGCAAATGCTAAGCTAATTCATGGTTAATGTAAACAATATGAGCCAAGGGCAGACCCACATTTCTCAATATAAAGCATCCGATCTTTTGTTGTACCAAATGATTTTTCTCTGACCAAACCAGCCTGCATGGAGAAGAAAGAAGTGAATAAGATTAACTTTACTGGTTTTGACAGCATGACATAAACACAAGTTCCCAAGACAATGCTAGTTCCTTAATGGAAAATAAATCCTCCATGGGACAGGTTCAAATCTGTTGAGTTGCAGGTTAAATCTTATATGCTCTCTGTTGCAAACAAATGGGCCTTTTTTGAATCCTTTCCTGTCAATGTGGTTGGTCTGTCACACTCATGGCACCTTCTGAGATTGGGTTGTGACATCAAAATTCCATTCTACCCAAACTTGTCTCAATTCTTCCTCTTTAAGAACAAAAAACAAATCCCCATATATTCCGATTGAACTTTGATAGAGTAAAAAATTTGGTTGTCTAATTATGAATGGGTGTAAGCAATGCAAGGCCAAGTATCCTTTCTGGGTATGTCAATGCCTCTAGGAGCCAGGACAAGGGACATTTCATCACCCTATGCAACTATTACACCAGCATAGCTGATTGAAGCCAAGGGACCACTGCCTTGCTAGCCCCCCGTCTTGAGGTTCCAACACCAACAATCAATCACATTTATGACCACACGTCTGGTACATCATTAATGTTTCCCGTTGTTGTGGGTATGAGCAGGCTTGTGGGGACAAATCTGGATGGGGATTAGACAGTGGATTTTGGTAGTGGCACAAGTATTTGGTAAAACATTAAGTTTATTTCAATTGTGACAAGTTTGATCAATCTCAGCAAGTTAACATTTCATCATTTTTATTCCTGATCCATGTGGCCATTGTTCTAAATTAGTTTTCCTTATCTTGTTGCAGTTTGGGGCCAGCCAAGGTTCTTTTGGATGCATTATTTATTCATTTTGTTTGTATTTTTATCATTTCTTGTTTTTCCCACTCATCCATCTTATCAGTTATCATCWCCATCATGGGTGTGTGAATTTCAGGCTAGCATGAAACTATAAAACCTATAGTGGCCTAGACTTAGCAAGAGTGGTCTAGTCTAATCTGCAAAAGTGAACTACTCTTAATGCATGCATGATCTGGCAAAACACCCCATGGAGTCTAGTTAAAAAATTGAGCCACATTATACAAACACCTTTGAAACTGGCCCTTGTATATCCATATTCTCATCCACAAGAAAAATGGTTTCTCCTTAACCTGCTGAAAATTGGAAACTTCATGCGCACCAAAATGGTTATAAAGCACTTGGGCAGAATACCAACTGATTAAGATATTGCAGATTGGATGTACATTTACAGAGGAAGGAAATAATATAGCTAATCTCCAGCAAAGATAAAGTTCAATAATTAGCTTGAACAAATGACAATTGGTTAGAATTAAGCAAGGGCTACCAGTGCAACAGGTTATGTGGGCCAAGACTAAAACAAATGCTAAATGAAATGATTGTTTCTGAATAAGAGTATGAGACCTGGATACTTGCTTAATGAGGGAAAATGTACAATAGGAATCTTAAGTGATTTGTATAGTTCAAGCTTTCAGGTGATATGTTTGTAGAATGGCAGCCTAGTGCCTTGTTGTCAACATTACTTAGGCGATCCAGGGGCCTAAGGTGTTAGAGGAGTTATTAGGGGTCTGATCCTTGTTTTTCTTTTTCTTTTTTTTTTTTTCTTTGTACACCCACTTGTGTACCCTCTCTTTTATTAATGAAATCAGTTAACTTTTTTTCAAAAAAAAACGACTATTCAACTTGCTCAAATAAAAATGTGAAAAATATGAAAAGTAAAAAAACAATTTATATCAAAATAAACTAAAACCAATAAATGTTGAAGGGTATATGACACATGTGATCCCAATGCAAATGAGGAATTAAACTTGAACAAGTTGACATTTATAAGAACTGAGAAACAATAAAAAAAAAAAACCATTCTACTTGTGCTTTCTGGTTCTAGAGGTCAGACCATCTAGTCTGATCTAAAGAGCAATTGCTAACCTCTTTGGTTGTTGATAACTGCAATGGCAGATTTGGGTTCAACTAGGGCATGTTCAGACACCAGGGGTCCCTCCAAAATTTAACCTTGTCATCTCTGCCCACTTTGAACTCCTCCACTAGGAGGTTCTTTCAGTAGCAAATCTCCAGCACCACTTGCTAAGCAAGGCAGTATTTATCACCTTCAGCTTCCTCTAGACCCCCTTCCTTTCTAGGTAAGCAAACTTGGTCCCAATTCACAAGATGAATTTTCTTCTCTTACCAACCAGAAGTTGTTTGTGTGGCAACTGAAGGCTATGGACCGTGTAGTCATTGACGAAACATTCAAATGTGTAAGATAAGTGCTGCAATAATGGTGCTTTGCTGTATCAATATTAAAATGAGCTTGTCTCTTTGCCTATAAAAAAAAAGAAAAAAGAAAAAAAGCTCCCAGGGGTCCTAAGGAAGTGCAACAAAAGAAAAACCAGATAGAAAAGGGAAGAGGGTGGAACCTAGGGACAACTGGAAGAACTGTTCTATGATGAAAATTTGAGTTCTCCGGTTAGAAAATCTCCACTGGCTTTCTTCAAAGCTACTTGCCTTGATCAAAAGAAACTCGTACTACTTGGGTGGAGTGAATTTATTTTGACACATTATGATATCTTGAAGGCTTGACCCATAAATTCTTGTAATTATATAAGCAGTATATCCATTTTGCATTATAGTGATTTATGGCTTGGAGCCCTCACCCCCAAGGTATTTTTACAGTCATGTTCTTAGATATGCATAATTGCAAAAAAAAAAATCCTAAGCCTCGTCTCAATTTTGATCTCAATCCTTACATTTGTCATTTGTTTAACATTAGGCTTGTAAAGTAGGCAAGTTTATATTGCATAATTAATTAAATTTTCATACATGATTTTATATCCCCAAAAATGTGATTTCTAACTTATTTTCTATTATTTTCTTATAGGTTGAACATGGTAAAGGAGGATACTTCGCAGAGACATTTGATCAAATTTTACACACCAAGTTTTTTTTTTTGGTTTGAGTTTCATGTATTCAAGAACCTTGAATTTGTAGCAAGCACATGGATGTTAAAGCACCTTGAGATATAATTCATTTGTTTATTATATAATCTTTTAATGAAATTTTAAATTCAAGTTTCATCTTATATTATGAATTAGTTGTGCTTGTATTCAATACAGGAAACAAGGCTTCAAAAAATAATGAAAAAATTTTAGGATCTAGTCATTAACCAAAGAGTAGTTATAGGTTTATATTTTTAGCTACAGTCAATGTAAACCGTAGCTATAGATTTATTTTTTCTAGCTACCAACAATTCACATCCGTAGCTATAGATTGTTGTTCTTTTGCTACTGACAACATGAACCGTAGCTATAGGTTAATTTTTTTTAGCTACGGTCAGTTAATATCCATAGTTATAGATTGATATTCTTTTGCTACGACTATTTAAATCATAGCTATAAATCCAAATTTTGTAGCTACGGACATCACAAACTGTAGCTAGAAAGTCAGTTTGTAGCTACGGATAACTTAAAAACCATAGCTACAAATGCATATATAATTATTTAGATTAGGCTTTAGCCACAGACAAACCGTAGTTATAGGTTAGTTCTAGCTACAGATTCGTTCAGCCGTAGCTATTGCCTATAGCCACCGCGACTGTAGCTACTGTTTCTTGACCGTAGCCAGCCCGTAGCTATAGACCTATAGCTACGGATTTGGCTGTAGCTATAGGCCTATTTTCTTGTAGTGTTAGGAACTTCCTTAGGTTTTATAAGTCTTTCAATGGTAGCACTTTCTCTTTTATCAAGTGACGCCCTAGGACCACACTTAAAGCATTTCTAACATCTGTCTTGATCCCCATCATTACCATCATCCAATTCATTAAAATATGCTATGTATTCCATATTATCATCTATCGCTCCAATGACATCCCTCTTATCATTAGCAAGTTCAGATCAATGCCTGTCATGGGAAATGAAGTGGAGTTTGTTGACCATCCCTATTTGTAATATGTGTTTCATTGGCACTCTCATTAGCCTCATTTCTAATGAAATTTCCTTATTTGGAATTAGGCTTGCAAATTCTAGCCTTTTTGTAGTCAAAATTGTTAAGGAAGTCAAAAATTAGGGTCGACACTCTCAGAAAGGGTCTAAACTCTTAGGGCAAAGTAATCACGGGGTTTTGTTAAGCCACCATTTGCAATAGTACCTCATAGTGAGAGGACCCTCCTTAAGGTAAGAGCATGCAACAACTATCACCTCCTTCATATTATATTTAAGGTAAGACCCCTAGAGCCCAAGTGCTTGTTTCAAGTCACATGAGCACAAATCCTCAATAATCTTTTTGGGAACATCTTGAGTGTACCCAAATTATTTGGTAAACCTATGAGGACTATATGGCTCTACTACGTATGAGTTCTTACACCAGAAGGTGAGATAACTTGACTTGAGACTAATCAAGTATTCAAGATAATACCCATGAAGCTATTGATTATCTTTGTGCAATGCCAAGCAATGTATTTGTCAAGTCTAAATAAGGCACGTGCATCCAATTCATTAAAATGTTTTGCCATCCCTTCCCCAGCAAATTTAGTCATATGAGGGGTGCTTGAATAAGGAGACTCATAGTAGGCCCTAAAGTACTCTCCAACTATTTATACACATAATGAATAGGAAAAGCAGCTCTACATCCACCTGGGTCTATAGAGGAGGTAACTTTATTCATTCCTCTATAAATACTAGAAAGAACATGAACAAAAAGGAAAAATGGGTGCCACACAACATCATGCCAGCAGTGTTGAATATCCCTAGTCGAACAAAAGGCATCATTGTGAGGAAGAATAAATGAATATAACCAACAAGAAAGGAATGCAACTAAATAGACCTCCTCTTTGATCTCGTCATCAACCCTTAAATCGTCAAAGACTTATTCTTCCTCCGATGATCGTTTGGAGGGAGGGTCATTTTTCCCAAGAGATTATAGGTTATCTCTGCCTACCTTTCTCTCTTTGCATTCCTGGAGGGTGGCTTTCTATACCTAAACGGACCCTTAAACCCATACTTCACCCAATTTGTTATGCTCACAACATATTCACCACCGGCTTTCTCTTTTAGATGATGAAATGCAAGGAAAAAGTACTTACAACTCTTAAGGAATCAAGACCTCCCCTAAGAACCACCTAATCATAAAAATAACCCCTAATGGGAAGTTCACCAATCATATGCAAATCCCAAAGTGAAATGGATAACTCTCCTAAAGGAGTGTGATGGGTGTTTGTGGTAGAGCACCGTGATTCACAAAAGGCACATATGATCATTAGGATTGTGGTCATATGTGAAAAGAGAAGCATAAATAGCATTGTAAATATTAGCCTTCTCAAGCACATTGTGGTTTCGACTAAGAGCATATTCTAGCCATTCCCAATATCCTTTAATGTATAAATGTCACTTTTATTTTATAATGCAGTCCCCTAATGAGTTTCTCCAACATGAATGTAGTGATCGAAGAGTTGAAATGATTGAGAGTCAGAATCCTCAAAATGATGGTTGGATTGAAGAATTGTGACCTTTTGTGAACCTAAGTTCCCCCTATATTATGAAAACCACTCAACTCCTTTCTGCATTCGTCACACCAATGAGATAAATGATCAAGCTTATCAATTAATGTCCACTTAGAGGCAAGAGGTCCAATAGTAGGAAGGTATACAGTCAATGTAGTTCCTTCTATCACTGCATCATCTTGATCCTCCAAGATAGTAATAAATTTCCCTTTGAATTGGAGAAATCCTTTAAAAAACCATTGTAGTAGGACAATAATGGTGATAACCAAGGAATAGGTGTCTGAAAAATGGGGACAGTGACAAGGAATCATGATAATGGAGATGGTAATGAACAAAGGTATGATGAAAGAGAAAGACATTACCTCTGATAATAATGAAGTAAATGGCAGATCCCTTCCCTATAAAGATTACTTATTTTAACATGAAATCAAGATGGTAAGTGGCACAGTTTTAAGATTTGTTGTAAGAGGGAATCGCATCAAAACTCATTTTGGTTCAATAGTAACTCCAGAGCCCGAGGCATCGACTAAACTAGTCCAGGTAAGACTTGGATGGGAGAGGGAAGGAGTTAAGCACTCCTATCCCGGGTCCGATAGGTGGGGCCCACATGGGATCCTATATAAGCACAAGCACGAATAGGAACAAAGCACAGGAATAGATCAGCATAAAATAAACCCACCTAACTACTTATTATTATTTATTATTATATTATTTTTAAGAGGATGTATTCATATATTCAAATATGCTCTACTTAGACTATGAGCTACAAAAACTGAAAATCTCACACTAATTGGCCACCATATAGACATTACCAATTGAAGGCAGGGAACACGTATTATGATAAAACAAGTCTTAATCAAGGCATTGAATCAAATCAAATCATTTGGACAATAGAGAAGAATAAACTGATATATCATGATTTCAAGCTTTCAATGAACACCCTATCACAGAGAAATCTAAGCTTAGAACACCAGAGGAGAATTAACAACATTATCAACATCATCTCATTAAGCTGGAAAACATACTGCAATCTTTAAAAACAAAAAAAAAAGAATCGATTTAGTTTCTAATATAGCTGCTTGATTCAACTAAAAATTTACACAATGATCCAAATCCTACAAAAGAAAAGGAGGATTAGCATATCTGGGTTGGTATTAAGAGTTTACAAGAGCTGAATAAGCTTGATCTCTCTCCTCCCAACTACAAATATGGAGAAATCCAAGTAAAACAAGAAAGAAAGAAAAAAAAAAAAAAGATCCAGATATAGAGAAAAAGAAAGCATGAACGGGCCTTACCTGGACTGTATGGCCTAAAATCGATTGCTTGAACAGGGGACTTATTTGCGATGTGGCCTATAATCGGGAACTACTCTGCAACAGAAGAGAGAAGCAATGGCCGATGCGTTCTAATGATTTTTGAATGTTCTTGTGCCGACGATGGTATTCTAGGTCTCTTACTTCGACGTTGATTGATGTAAGTGGGGCTTCTAACTATATCATACAAACGGGATAGGATCCTTCATCATTGGTTTGAATATGATGTCCTAGCTTGTTTAGCTCTAGCAACAAAATAGAGGAGGGCACGAGAAATGAGATAGAGACGATGGGGGAATGAGAAAAGCAAAGTGGAGGAAAGGAAACGAGATAGCAAGAGAGAGATCGGAGAGGGGAGGAGTCTATCGCTGCTTGCCGCCTCTGTTGAGACGAAGAGAAAGATGAACAACTATCTTTTCGGTGATCTAGGCGATCGGTGGATTAGGTTGATCCGGGAGAATGAGAGAGAGAGAATTGGAGAAAGATCATCATTGCTAACAGTTGCATCGGAAATCGAGGGGAGGAACAGAGGAAGGGAACCTGGAGGGAGAAGAAGAACAAAAAGGGAAGAAGAGGATGAAAGGAAGAAAGAGGGAGTGAGAAATAAAGAGAAATCGGAGAGGGGAGAGATCTCATAGTTCCGCCGCTGTGTTTTGAAGAGAGGGAGATGATGAATAGTATTTTTCTCCTCTATGATTTCGGTCAATTTGGTCAGTTGGTAACGATGAAAAGTAATGGAGGAAGAGAGAGAAGAGAGAGATGCCATCGGAAAAGAAGGGAAACGACGTCAATCGTGTACACGTGTGGAAAAAGACATAGGGCCTCGCATGAGAAGGCCAAAGCATGCAAATTTGGTAACGATGAAAAGTAATGGAGGAAGAGAGAGAAGAGAGAGATGCCATCGGAAAAGAAGGGAAACGACGTCAATCGTGTACACGTGTGGAAAAAGACATAGGGCCTCGCATGAGAAGGCCAAAGCATGCAAATTTTCATATCATGTTGCAACGAAGCTAAATGTTTTGATGAAGTGTTGGTTGTGCTGTTTTTGGCATTGGGCATAAATTTAAGTACATGTAAAACCCATATATGTAGTAGGTTGGTCCGCACCATGAAAATTCCCAATGGGGTTATTTCCTACAAATATCAGGTTGCCATCATGGAACTCATTGCATACAAAATTCCAACATATTATACAACAATTGTCTGTGAGTGTAGGTCCTTCTAATTGTAATCATTAAAATTTTCATTGCCTTCTTAATGGTCCCTAACCCCATAAGTTTAAATTTGCTCATGGCTCTTAGTGTAGGTCCTTTTATTTGGGCCTCGATCCATACTCTCAAATATGTGCATGGGCCTTAGCATTCGGGCTTTGATTTTGCATATGAAAATAATCCAATCAGAGGTCATATCAAGTCTTAAAGATGGAAACCTAGTTAATGATTGAAGAGAGAATAATTGATTGAAAATCACAAATTGCCAATCTTCTTCTTTATAAAAGGTAACTACAACTAATCACATCTCTAGTCAATCAAGGCGCATCTTCCTATAGATGGGAAATTAGTCAATGATTGAAATTATTCTCTTCAAAAATGGTGGTAATTGCAATATTTTACTATTTAAAAAGGGTAAGAAGAACCAATCAAATTCTCAATCAAGGGGATGAAGAGATTAAACTAAAAAATCTATAAATAGGGGTTGCCATTAAATTCTTGGAGAAGGAGGAAGCACATACACCATTTTCTTTAGAGTAAAGCCATAGCACTCTTGGAATCTTGTAGAATTCTTCTTTTGATTAAGCTTTCAAAGTCCAATTGAAAGGAAGCGGTCTCCATCATTTTCTGTAGCATGGGAGCACGTTGTCTCACTCTCAACTTTAACTCTAATACAATTTTTCAAGTTGCAAGAAATGCATCATCAAGAGAGAATCAGAGATAGTATCTATTTTCTAAGAGTTTCAAATACAAAGAGTTTGTATCAAATTACTTTAAATTAAAAGGAAAATCAAATTATTTGAATTTGTCTTCATTTTTCTTGTATATGCGAAATTTTTGTTGACAAATATATAATATTATTGATATGTACAAAATTTTCTATAACTTTTATATTTTTGTGATTGTTTGTATTTTTCTATTCTTAAAATTTTATTGTTCGACTATCACAATGATCCATTTGATCAAAGCCACTAACCCATCACCCAAAGTGGAAAATTGTTATATTTCTTGGCTGATTTTAAATATTGTATTCCATTTGCCTAGTTACTAAAATTACATTTTATGTATAGCACTTATTTTTGTTTAACACAATGTATATACAATATTAAAGATATAACTATTTTTTATTTTTTACAAATATATAACAATAGACATATGTCTAAAATTTTCTACAATTTGTCTATATTTTTTTATGATTCTTTGTATTTTTATTTTTAAAAATTTATTATTTGAGTGTGACGTTATTTCAATTCTTGGTTGATTTCAAATTTTGTATTATATCATTAATAAAAAAATACATTTTATATATCATACTTATTTTTTTAGTATAATGAATGCACTACATTAGAGATATACCCAAATCTCTTTTTTTTTCTATATTTTTGTTTTTTATCGATATCTATATCCATTTGGCTCAAATGATTGAATTGATTATCCACACTAGGAAGGAAGACAAAGGTTTTTTTCTTGGTTACTTTTCAAAATACTGATTTTATACTACTAAAATTAATGTTATAGATATAATTAGTAGAATTTAATGATGAGAAACAAATATACCTTAATGAGAGTTACTACCTTATATATGAGATTTAATGAGGGAGAACTGGAAAATGGTTTCATTTCTTGTTGGTTTTAAATTTTATATTCCATTTTTATCATTGAAAAAAATATTTTATTTATCACAAATGTGCACAAAATTTTCTAGATTTTTTTTTTTATTTTTATACTTTTGTATTTTATTTATTTTTTATTTTTTATGGTTTAACTATGGCATAATGGATTAGCCCATTTTGACCCACAATGGCTGAACTTCTTACCACTACCATTTAACTATTGAAATTGTTATGTATTTATTTAATTAGTAAAATTTAATGATGTGAAATAAAAATGCCTTAAATATATAATTCAATGAGGGAGAATGGGAGTTAATACCTTAAATGTAGGACTTAATAAAATATAATTGTATAGATTTTATAATAATATTCAAATTACATTTTTAGTTTCGCAATACAGTTAAAAAGGGACCATATTTAAAAAAAAAAAAGCTCTTTTAGTAAAAAAAAATTCCAAAAGCACAGGACTCTATTCATACTTTCTATAATACTATAGATATAGATATAGATCTTTATTTTATATATCATTTTTACATGCTTACTCACATTCTTGGTAATGGGTCCTGATGAAGGAAGATTTGGCCCGACCTCGCAATCACGCCATGTGGCAAAAAACAAGTAGTTCGGCACTTAAAGCAACGTACCCAGGGTGCAAACACCAAAGGGAAGAAACTAGCAGTCAAAACTCCTATCGAGGAGACCGAACTCCCTTCGAGGAGCCCGAACTCCCTACGAGGAGCACGACCTCCCTACTAAGAGCTCGAACTCCCTACTAAGAGCTCGAACTCCCTATGAGGAGCCCGAACTCTCCCTTTG